AGGTAACTGGATCCCTGGCTTGGATTTTAATTTATCAAGCACTTTGAATCCAACCAAAAAGAAACCCTGTCAATTATTAGAACTAGTAGAAGGTACTGGTTATATAAAAAGGGACCAGCATCTTGGCTGTACCTGAATCGTAAAGAACTTTGAATTAGGATTTGAATTTTCAAGTTTTATTTTAAAGAGGAAGGTCTGGAAGATATTTGAATATATTTCATCTGCATTTCAACATCAACGTTACTTAAAAGCCAAGATAACAGCTACCTACTGCGTTGTGCACTTCTGCTTTGCATAAGGCTTAATAACAATCTTAATTAGGCTAATTTTAGTCAGATTAATACTGGTGTGTGTCAGCACTAGCTGCTAAATGCCACATACTGGATTTTAACTAATGGTAGGAGAGGAAATACTCATGGTGTAAACATTTTTGAACTGAAAAAAGCTAAAACAAAGTATATCCAAGTATGACAGAGGATACATCATAACATCACTGATTCTAGACTTTTGGTGTATTAAAGCTGACTTTTAAATAGATACATCTGTCTCGTGTAATGTTAGGAAAATACAGTCTTGATGAAACACTCTGTGTGTATCAAACCTTTGTCTTCCAAGTTCTAAAAGATTCAGAGATTTTTTTTATCATTGGTACGGTCATATACTTGTTAATTTCTTTAGCTGATAAACTCAAGAATGTCCTATCTTCAATCAGAAACCCCTCTTTCCTTGCATTGTTATGAGCTAGATAAAGAAAAGCAACTCATTTTTTTTTTCCTTTGTTAAATTTCTACTTTGACCAACAAATGAGAGTTCTCTATCCTCACTCTTGGCCTGGGCTGTCATTATCCTTGTCAAACCCTAGGCATCGCAGCATCGGCACCAGCTGCCTCCTTAAACTTGGCAGTCCTTGGACAGGGAGTGACTGACTCTTAAGGGAGTTGGGGAACCTTAAAGACCAACTCATTGTGATGGCAGAAGGATTTTTCATTTACTTCATAGCCTTGATTAGAAATAGCAGTAAGGATTCCAAATTAACATTGATAATGTCTATAATTGAAATGTTCAAAACAGCACTATTTACAATAGCCAGGACATGGAAGCAACCTAGACAGCCATTGACTGATGAATGGATAAAGAACATATGATACATATATATAATGGAATATTACTCAACCATATAAAGGAACGAAATTGAGTCAGTTGTAGTGATGTGAATGAACCTAGAGCCTGTCATAAGGAGTAAAGTAAGTGTGAAAGAGAAAAACGAATATTGTGTATTAATGTATATATATGGAGTCTAGAAAAATGGTTCTGATTAATCAATTTGCAGGTCAGGAATAGGGGAATAGAGGAATGCAGGTACAGAAGTAGAAAACAGACTTTTGGACACGGGGGGGAAGGAAAGGGGGTGACGAATTGAGAGTAACATCGACGTATATACACCACCATGTGTGAAACACGTAGCTAGTGGGCAGCTCCTGTATAGCACAGGGAACTCAGCTTGCTGCTCTGTGATGACTGACCTAGAGGGGTGGAATTGGGGTATGGGAGGGAAACTCGAGAGAGAGTATATATGTATATACATGACTGATTCACGTGGTCATAGAGCAGAAACTAACACAACATTGTAAAATAATTATACTCCAATAAAAAAGAACTATAGATAGCTAGTAAGTGGAATAATAATAATAATAATAAGTAATAAAACCACAGCCTTAGAATTAGAAGGTCTGAATTCAAATAAGACATTATCTTTGAGATCCTTGACCTAGTAAATGATGATTTATCATGAGATTAAGTGGGATATGCATAGGAAGGTGTCCAGGTTCAAATGAGGAATTCATAAATATTTGTTTGTTCATAATTTATTTACTTACATACTTCACTCACATTTTCAAGGCACTTAGGTTCAAAGCGAAAGTAAATTTTAATGTTAGATTAATTCAGTTATGTAAATTACTATCAAAAAGTACCCTAGGTTTATGCTTCTATGTCTTGATAAAAACTTATTAATCTTCCATAATCACAAGCAAGATATGGAAAACTTAAGCAAACATCTAGTTAAAAAGATGCATATCATCACACCTCTTTATTTCCCCAGAGCAAAGTATTATGCAAATAAGTGAGCAAGTATGTAAATGAACAAATAAATGGAGTCTGGCTTAGAAACAATTGAATTCAGTAATTTGTGCTCAGAAGGATATAGCTCAGGTTTTTTAGATGAATCTAGTTTTTTTCCTTTTCTTCCTGCCCACTAAGTCTGTTACCAACCCTCACAGGGAATATTTAGCTCATTAACATCAAATAATATATTCGATAACTCTATCTAACTTTTCTCTCTCCAGAAAAACACATACACTTCTTTAAGAATAGACATGCTTTCAAATATGTGGGACTGGAGAATTGTCCAAGGGAAAGTGGTCATATTTCAAGTGAATTTAAGATTTCTTATACTCAGGAAATCTGGTCCCATCACCTCATGGGAAATAGATGGGGGAGACAATGGAAAAAGTGTCAGACTTTATATTTTGGGGCTCCAAAATCACTGTGGATGGTGACTGCAGCCATGAAATTAAAAGATGCTTACTCCTTGGATGGAAAGTTATGAGCAACTTAGATAGCATATTAAAAAGCAGAGACATTACTTTGCCAACAAAGGTCCATCTAGTCAAGACTATGGTTTTTCCAGTGGTCATGTATGGATGTGAGAGTTGGACGGTGAAGAAAGCTGAGTGCCGAAAAATTGATGCTTTTGAACTGTGGTGTTGGAGAAGACTCTTGAGAGTCCCTAGGACTGCAAGGAGATCCAACCAGCCCATCCTAAAGGAGATCAGTCCTGGGTGTTCATTGGAAGGACTGATGCTGAAGCTTAAACTCCAATACTTTGGCCACCTCATGCGAAGAGTTGACTCATTGGAAAAGACCCTGATGCTGGGAGGGATTGGGGGCAGGAGGAGAAGGGGACGACAGAGGATGAGATGGCTGGATGGCATCACCGACTCGATGGGCATGAATTTGAGTAAACTCCGGTAGCTGGTGATGGACAGGGAGGCCTGGCGTGCTGCAATTCATGGGGTCGTAGAGTCAGACACAACTGAGCTTTCTGTTTATCCTCACCAAACAATTAGACCTGCCCTTGCAAATGATGACTCAGTATCAGCTAATATTTATAGAGCTTCCACTCTGTGCCCCAACTGTGCTCTAGGCACTATTATCACCTTGAATGATTTCAAACGTTTTACAGAACAAAGGGTTCCAACATTTATCACAGGTATGGCCCTCAGTTAAAAAAGTGAACTAGAAGACAAAATTAAGTGGCTTTCCCCAGTCACCCAGGAACAGCTCAGCAGCAGAGCAGAGGCTGAGACCCCAATCTCTGGTCATTAGATTCACTTTTCACTTTCATGCAATGGAGAAGGAAATGGCAACCCACTCCAGTGTTCTTGCCTGGAGAATCCCAGGGATGGCAGAGCCTGGTGGGCTGCTGTCTATGGGGTCACACAGAGTCGGACACGACTGAAGCGACTTAGCAGCAGCAGCATAACAACAAAGTAGCAATTATATGAGGTCAAGGATGTGTTAACTAACCTTATTGTCATAAAATTTTGCAATATAGAATGGTATCAATTTATAACATTGTGTACCTTAAACTTACACATTTGATGCTTTTGAATTATGGTGTTGGAGAAGACTCTTGAGAGTCCCTTGGTCAGCCAGGAGATCAAACAAGTCAATCCTAAAGGAAATCAACCCTGAATATTCACTGGAAGGATTGATGCTGAAGCTGAAGCTCAATACTTTGGCCTCCTGATGTGAAGAGCCAACTCATTGGAAAAGACCCTGATGCTGGGAAAGACTGAGAGCAGGAGGAGAAGGGATGACAGAAGATGCAATGGTTGGATATCATGGCCGATTCAATGGACATGAGTTTGAGCAAACTCTGGGATATAATGAATGACAGGGAAACCTGGCGTGCTCCAGTCCATGGGCTTTCAAAGAGCTGGACACAACTGAACAACTGGATCTTTATTTTAAAAATGGGAGGATAAATCTTTAAGAATATGTAAATGGACACCCAAAGGAATAGAGAGAATATATGAACATAAATTGACCTTATTTGTACATTAAATTTTAGATCCATGAAGCTATTTATGATTTTTAAAAAGTTAAAATTTTAAATGAAGGACAGGTAAGCTTGGCGTGCTGCAGTCGGTGAAATCCCAAAGAGTCGGACATGACTTAGCAACTGAACAACAACGTTTATCTCAAGGTGGAAACACTGAAAATTATTGTTGCACATCTTACTCTTGGAAGAAGTACTGTACTGAAACTGAGTCACAGTACTAACTTGTAATAATTTTTTTTTGCTGGTTCAGAAGTTAATTCCTCCCAAGTATTATTGCTTACCTGTGTTAATTTTTAAAAACATTCTCAGCATCGACTTAGGAGTAGAGACTGCTTCACGTGAAGAAGGAGAGGCCATTTGGTGGCACTGAAAATTTCACCGAGTTTTTTTATCAGGTGTGTCTTCTGAGAAGCATAAAAGGATAGGAAGAAAATGGAACGCTGATGTCCATGTAGAGACTTAAGAAACTGGACATCAGTACTCTTGAATGTACCTTCTTCCTAATTTGTCAAAATCAGACTCTACTCCAGAGCACATAGCTAACTTAGAGCCTTGTACAGGGTTTCTTATTTTAGTGTGGGATGGAGTGGTGGGACGAGTTGAGTGAGTAGCACGGAAACATATACTTTCCCGTACGTAAAACAGACAGCCAGTGGGAATTTGCCGTGTGCCACAGGGAGTTCAACCCAGAGCTCTGTGGCCACATACAGTGGTGTGGAAGACGGCAGGGAGCATCAAGAGGGAGGGGACATATGTATACCTGTAGCTGATTCATGATGGTGTATGGCAGAAATCAGCACAATATTATAAAGTAATTGCCCTCCAATTAAAAAAAGTTGCAAACCACTGACTAGAAATGGTAAGTTGTACTTACGAATGCATGCTGACAGAAAAGAGCCATCTCTCTTAGAGGGAAGCAGGCCGGTGCTGAAATAGCCCATGAAAGGAGCCAGAATGAGTAGTGGTAGGATACTGACGACATTCATGACTGAAACTGGCAGAAGCGATCCACGCAGATTAAGACTGGAATTCACGGTCTGCAGATAATATCCTGAAGGAATCTGCTTTTCAACAGGGAAAGAGCCATGCATTAACACAGTGGTTTAAGACTTCCCTGGTGGTCCAGTGGCTAATGCTCTGAGCTTCCAATGCAGGGAGTGTCTGTGGGTTTGGTCTCTGGTTGGGGAACTAGGATCCCACATGCCCCATGGTGAGGCCAAAATAAATGAATAAATAAATGAAATGATTTTAAAAAAGAAAAAGAGACAGTGGTTTAACTTTAGAGGAAGATTCCTGTGGCAGATGCCTTGTCCCTGGCCTGTACTCTGTGATAGATAAGCTGGATGTTCCCCACGTCTTCGAGGTCATGATTATGAGCTGACAAAGGTCAGTAGGAGCTCTGTTTAGTCCATTGACAATGCTACTGATTCTTTATGATGAATCTTTTGTCATCTAGTCTTTCCTCTTAATTTTCCTTGGAAAAGTAACAGAGACCCTAATTTTGTACTTCAGATGACACATAAGAAATCAAGTAACAAATACTGCATATAAGCAAGTAAAGTTTTTTGTTTTTCCCAACAATAAAGCAAAAGCCAGCAGAAAGTATTAAGACTTTCTTTTTACTCATAAACAATAGATTGTGGCTAGTATATCCTTTAAATAGCATTGAGTTTGGTAGCAAAATAAGTAAGAATGATTTTTCCCTAAGAAGAGGGGTCCAGTGTAGAAACCCATTACTTGATGTAGGCTATCTTTATAGGCTCCCTGGATTGGTCTCATTTTTAATATGTCAAGTAAAATGAGAAAAAAAGAGAGAAAACAGACGTGTCTATATTCTCCTTTCAAACTAACTGTGAAGCACTAGAGAACCAAAAAGGGAACTCCACATAAAAAGTTGCACAATAAAGTAGAAGAAATTAAAAACAAACATACAAAAACCTACAACAACTAAGAATACCTCTGCCCCACTGCAAACCCTCAACATAGTGCCAGGATTTGATTTTTAAAATAAATTCTAATACTAACTAAAACTCTGACATTAACTTGGAGTCTCTTCAAGTGCTCCAAACCTTTTGTTAGGTTATAACTGTTAGGTCAGAACTAAAGCATCGTGTCACAGGAAAGGTGTATCTTCTCACTTTTATAGTTCATGAGCTTTGTTGCAACAATCACGTCTTTGTCATTGTCATTAGCAGCACAGAGTATTTCTTTAATTCCCAGTGGCACGCAAAGCTACTAATTGGCTTGGCGAGAAAGTCAACCCAAGTTTTGTCCTTAAGAAATGGATTCTCCATTTTTTTATCTTATAGTGTGTGAACTTCATTAGGATTCCTGCCTTACTCCCATCCTGGGAGAGCAACCTGGCTCAAACACCCAGATGATAACTTCTTGTTTGAAACCTTCACTATCTCCTCCTCTAATTATCAGTTGTGCAACTTGAGAAGCATAAGGAGAAGCAGAGTCATAAGTCAGTGCTGTTGCTAACAAGCCCACCGATTATAAAATGAGCCTATTGCTCTGTTAACTGCCTCCACCCAGGGACGGACTACATTTTCACTGAGATTTTTTTTTTGATCTATATAAAATACGTTCTGGTGATAATTTATCTTCCGATCTTGAATTTGACCCTTGGGATAGTAAACCGGATTGTTATAGTTGGGTAAAGACAGCAAGAGAGAAGGGAACATTAGCTAGTTCTGCCCTAGTTCCATCAAAATATTAAGTTCCTTCCTTAATCAGAGGAAAATGAATGATTTTTTTTAAAGAAAAAGTGCTGGCAGCAGAGCTCCTCTAAGACTGAGAGGCTCACAGCACAACTTGGAAGTTTCCGTTACTGATTTCAAACGAGAATTATTGTTAATAGGAATAAAGTTATTATCAGCATGAATCACAGACGCAGAAACCTGTTAACTTAATAATGTGGCAAATGTATGATTAATCTTTAGTGAAGCAATATTCATAGATTGCCTAATCTAAGAAAAGGCTCCGATGTCTTGAAAGCTTGAAATCATTTCTGCTTCTGCCTCAAGTTCTGAAATCATCTCCTTTTAAAATTTTAAATACTCTTATTTCATACAAGCCTCTGAGTATTCAGGAATAATTGCTGTCAATAGAGATTCATTTTCACCTCTGAATGGCCAGTAATGTCAAATGGCAACATCATCGGCCTTAATATCAACATATTTTAAATGTATGTCTTGGAACTGAAGGTCAATAATTGCTACTAAATTTAAAATATGGCATGCTATGATGTTTTATTCTTGGTGCTTTGATCTCCTTTATACTGGTGATTATTTCATCTGGAGGCAAAAATCTAACACCAGCCTATCCCAGTGGAAGTTTCATCTGCCTCCCTTGAGAAGTATATTCTAACCATTTTCTTTGGAGTTTCTGGTATAACATTACTGTATATGATTTTGGAACCTGTATAGTCTATATAGGGTTTTTTTTTTTTAAATTAATTTTTGGCTGCACTGCCTGGCATGCAGGATCTTAGTTCCTTGACCAGGGATCAAACCCATGACTCCTGTAGTTGAAGCACAGAGTCTTCACCACTGGATAGCCCAGGGAGTTCCGTGTACAGGGATTTAAAAAAATATAATTTTAACTATTTATTTATTATATTTTTGGCTGCTCTGGGTCTTTGTTGCTTCCTGGCTTTTCTCTAGCTGCCACGAGCAGGGGCTGCTCTCTAGTTGCGGTGCTCGGGCTCCTCATTGCAGTGGCTTCTCTTGTGGAGCACGGGCTCTAAGGCACCCAGGCTTCCGTAGTTGAGGCATGTGGGCTCAGTAGCTGTGGCTCCCTGGCTCTAGAGAACAGGCTGAATAGTTGTGGTGCATGGGCTTAGTTGCCCTGAGGCATGTGGGATCTTCCCTGATCAGAGGTCGAATCCATGTCTCCTGTATTGGCAGGCAGATTCTTCACCAAACCCTGTATAAGGGTTTTTAACCCAGATGCTAGAGAGGCATAGTTGGTAACAGCAAAGTGTGGGCACGGATACCCGCCCTGGGTTGGGACAGCCATGCTGCCATATTGCTAGCAGGGCATCCAAGAGCAACTTGCAAGTCACTCAATGTCTCTGAGACTCAGATTTAGGATAACAAAATCAGTCCTGGGGAGTGCTGTAGGGGTTGACTTAAGACACTGTGAAGTCCTCCTTTAAAGGCTATGCCACCAGGTGGGATGCATGAGACAAGTGCTCGGGCCTGGTGCACTGGGAAGACCCAGAGGAATTGGGTGGAGAGGGAGGTGGGAGGGGGGATCGGGATGGGGTATACATGTAACTCCATGGCTGATTCATGTCAATGTATGACAAAACCCACTGCAATGCTGTGAATTAGCCTCCAACTAATAAAAATAAATGAAAAAAATAAAAATAAAAAATAAAGGCTATGCCACATATAGGTGGTCAATGATATTAGTGTTTGTTCTTTGCAACAGAGTAGGCATCTAGATTTGGTGATATATAAAAATTAGTTTATCAAAATTTATTATAATTTATGCCAAATTTTAAAACATATGACAGTTTGCAGAGAAGGGCTGGATTTAGTCAAAAGAAACAGTAGGAGTCACTACATTATGAGGGTAAGAATCAAGAATTTTTGCTATTTACACAGAAGGTTCAAGGCTGTCCATGGGTCAGCTAGCAATTTTGTACTCATGATTAATTTCTTCACTCTAAGATTTTTTTTATAATATTAATGCTCATATATAGAGGTGGTATTTTTGTATTTTTGCACCATCTACTATTGTGGAGTCAAGAGAGAGGTTGAATCTACTAAATCAGCCTAGTTTTCATGCATTGTTTAGAACAAGGGTCAGCAAACTTTTCTGTAAAAGGCCAGATAGACAATATTTCCACATGTGGATTCTGTTGTAACTACTCAACTCTGCTGCTTGCATGCATAAACAGACATACTATTACAAACAAACATAAGACTGTGTTCCAATAAAACTGTATTTATGAACACCTAACCAAAGAGAAATCCTATGCTTATTCTTTTCTAACAACTGTACTTTCTTTTTTTTTTTTAATCAAAGTAGAGTTAATTTATAACGTTGTGTTACTTTCAGGTGGGGCTGTCTGATATGGGGGCTCTCTGATAGCTCAGTTGGTAAAGAATCTGCCTGCAATGCAGGAGACCTCAGTTTGATCCCTGGGTCAGGAAGATATGCTGGAGAAGGGACAGGCTACCCACTCCAGTATTCTTGGGCTTCTCTTGTGGCTCAGCAGGCAAAGAATCTGCCTGTAATGTGGGGGATCTGGGTTCGATCTCTGGGTTGGGAAGATCCCCTGGAGAAGGGAAAGGCTACTCATTCCAGTATTCTGGCCTGGAGAATTCCATGGACTGTATAGGCCATGGGGTTGCAAAGGGTCAGACATGACCGAGTGACTTTCACTTTACTTCATCCTCTCTCTCTCTATATATATATATTGGATTGGCCAAAGTTCATTCAGGTTTTCCCATAAGATGTTATAAAGAACCCAAATGAACTTTTTGGCCAACCCAACACTTGTTCAGATTCTTTTCCCTTATAGGTTATTACAAAATACTGAATGTAGTTCCTTGCGTTAGGTAAGGCCTTGTTAGTTATCTATAGTATTGCATGCGTGCTAAGTCACTTCAGCAGTGTCCGACTCTGTGCGACCCTATGGACTATACCCTGCCTGGCTCCTCTGTCCATGGGATTTCCCAGGTAAGAATACTGGAGTGGGTTGCCGTGCTGTCCTATAGGGGATCTTCCTGAGCCAGGGATTGAACCCGCGTCTCTTACATCTCCTGCACTGGCAGGCAGGTTCTTTACCACTAGCACCACCCAGTAGAGTGTATATGTTAATCTCAAGCTCCTAATTTATCCTTACTGCCCTTTCCCTTTGGTAATCATAAATTTGTTTTGTTTTTTATGGACACCTCATTTTTAATTTCATACAATTTATAATTATAATTGTGCACCCAATTATAATTATAATGTGCTGCAAGATATTTTTCTTAATTTTTAAAAATCACATGAAAATGCAAAAACCTTCTTACCTTACAGGATATGTGAAAAAGGCAGTAGGCTGGATTTGGTTTGCAGGCAGTAATTTGCTGACCCCTGGTTTAGAGGAACAAGCATTGTACTAAGCGTCAGAAGATAAGATTCTGCCTTTTCTTTCACTACTATTCACTGTTTGACCTACTTACCCCAAATCACTTAATTTTTTTCAAGCCTCAGTTTCCTCTTCAACAAATGAAGGAATTGAGTAAGTTAATCTCTAAGATTTTTTTCTAGATCTATAGATCATAGAATCTACTATTCTATGATTCAGCTCACTCATTAGCCATCTAATTCCAAGTTAGATGTTAGCAATGAAGAGTTTCAAATTTCTTCAAAGATTTTTATAATCATTTATATTTCTTCATAACTGAATCAGCCAATTTAGCTACTTGTTAATACCAATTTTTAAAGGCTTGACCAAAGAGGAAACCAAAGTTAATTTATCTCCATTTTTGTTGCTCAGACACTCAGTCATGTCTGACTCTTTGTGACCCCATGGCCTATAGCACACCAGGCTCCTCCGTCCATGGGATTCTCCAGGCAAGAATACTAGGGTGGGAGGCCATGTCCTTCTCCAGGGGAACTTCCTGACCCAGGGATCGAACTCTTTATCCCTTACATCTCTCACATTGGCAGGTGAATTCTTTACCACTAGCACCACCTGAGAAGCCCATAATTGCCCATAGATCTCATATTTTTCTGAGTCACTCACAGGCCTTGGAAATTCTGTAAAGTACTGCCTGCTCTGTCCGCACCTACTGACAGACACTTGCAGTTCTACAGGAAAAATGCCGCCCTCAGATCCTCCTCTGGAGTGCTTATACCTGACGCCACTTAGTCCTTAAAAGCTAGAGCCTGTAATGATTAGAAGCATTTATAAGTTAACATCCTAACAAGGTATATGGGAAGCACTTGTTGGGGTGAAAAGAAATGTCTACTTGTAATGTTATCACGCAATCATTTTACTGTTTCTGTGGGTAGTCTTAATTATCTTTCCTCACCTGTATAATGCACGTTTTGTAGAGGAGATGAAAAATAAAGAGTGGCAGAAGGTTGAAGAAAAATTTTGTGTCTTCCACAAGGAGCTCACTGTAGCGACCGCCATTTTTTTCCTTGGCATGGCCCAACCAGCTTGTCACACCTCCGCCAAGGTGGCAATACTGCAGACAACATGTTTTCAGTGCATTAACAAACACCCTGAATGTTGTCAGGAGGGAGCAACCTGCAGATAATTGGAAGTACTATGTATTTAGTAAAGGAATATTTTTCAGTTTTCCAAAATATCTATCAGAAAGATGACAATGGTAAGGATGAAGGGGAGTGGTGAGAAGATTTTAGCACCCAAGGGGCTGAATTCAAAGGAACAAGCTTCTGACGAGGGTTCTGGCATCCTGGTGACCAGCCCAAGGTGGTGCCTGACAGCTGGTAAAAAATGAAAAAGGTAAGATCAATGGAAGCATATTAAAAAGGGAAGAAAGGTGACAAAATATAGCACCAAAGTAAAAGATTTCAGAATCTCTCAGAAGCCTCTAACTTTAACACATTAATGAATAAGACAACCTGAACTTTCTTTTACAGCCTTAACACAAAGAACTGGTACTATTTTTTTTTTTAATATAAATTGCCATATAAATAATCCTCACTTTCCTTGTCAGGTAGAAGGTGGTTTCTTATTTTGACATGTAGATGAAAGGAAATATATTCTCTGCTTTGACTTTATCCTTGAATTTCAGACATAAGGTTAAACTTTGAACTCTTCAAATGACTTTATATATGTTGATAGTGTCACCAAAAGTTCAGATTAGATTAGCTGGCTTTTGACTTTTCCAGTAGTTTCCTCTGGGTTTATATGGTTGTCCCTTAGCATCAGAAGCATTTTATTGCTTTAGATATTTGCAATCACTTAACTGCTAGTGATTTGCAACCTCACTGTTGGTTCTTTTATGATCTTTCAAATTTCACCTTTTCATTGACTCAGTTAGGACTTCGTGATCCAAAGACAGATAAGAGATCCTGGTTTAGTTAGCAGTTCAGAGGTGCCATCATGATTGTTACAATGTTTTACAGCACTCCTTTGGACCAGATAAACCCTGCCTCAAATTATAATGACATCAAATCATGGTGCAGGATAAACAGTGAAATGAACAGGAAAATGCTTGAGTTTCTCCAAAGAAGGCTGCTTTAGAAACTCAGAGTATATAGTTTGATCATCATTTTAAATAAGTTCAAGTTTCCCATAGTAAAATTCTAGATGAAATGCATTGTAACCAAGTTCATTTAAATGCCACAGTGTTGGTTTTCAGATTTAAATAAAGAATATTAATTTCTTTTTATGGTTATAAAGTGATGATATTGATTGGATCTGGTCTTTTCTTGAACAGTTGTAATAGACCTATTATGTCAGTCTTTGATTAATTGAGGAAGCTGGGGGCCTGGTAATTGAATATGGAGCCTCTCACCTCTAAGTCACTGAATCAAATCCAACCCAAATTGGTAGTGACCAAGAATGATTACAGCAGAGACTCTTTGGCGGCCTCTGGGAAGTGTGTTGAGGTCAAGTGGAAGTATGTCGGGATAACTGCCGACAGGAGACAGGCTCACATCTACTGCCACTCTTGTCTCGTAGTCACTGTGGCCAGACTTGGATGAAAGGCTCCCAGAACTGAGAAGTCCAAAGGAGACAGACATCCCTGTGAGTGGCCAAGGTTTGTGTCTCTTAACAACGGAATAATTGGGACATCTCTTTACTATTGGAGGAAGAACTGCTCTATTAGGAAACTTTCTCAGCTATTTCAATTAGTTTACTTAAGGTTAAGATAAGAACTGAAAATGTCTTGATGAACGATCTAGAGACTGAATTTGAACATGTCTGGGTTTGGAGGCTTAGCTTCCTGACATTTCCTTCTGATCCTGCTTCAGTTGCTCATCAACCTGTTCTCTGCTCAACTCTTGTGAAACAGTACTGAGTAGTCAGAGGGTTATTACTGGTATTGATCCAACTTACTCTGTGCTTTCAAATAGGCTTTATTATTAAATGATGACTATTTGAAGGGTAAAAGATTATTTCCAGAGGCATTTTCCCTAATTTCCTTCCTATGTTTTAAATTCAGGATTTTATTGAATATAATGTTTTAAATTCGCTATTTCTTCTTCACATAAACAAATCACTATGTCTCAAGGAAAACTGGGATCTACTTTTATGTGTGATAAATTGATATCTCCAATCTTATTAAATAGTTAATATTTGCTATCTTATTATTTCTAAAGAAAGGGAGTTTGAATAAGTGCTTCTGAAATTAGCTGTGTTAAAAGTTAAAAGTTTTTAAAGGGAACTATAAGCAAGGTGAAAAGACAGCCCTCAGAATGGGAGAAAATAATAGCAAACAAAGCAACAAAGGATTAANGAAACAGACCACCAGCCCAGGTTGGATGCATGAGACAAGTGCTTGGGGCTGGTGCACTGGGAAGACCCAGAGGGATGGGATGGGTAGGGAGATGGGAGAGGGGATCGGGATGGGGAACACATGTGAATCCATGGCTGATTCATGTCAATGTATGGCAAAAACCACTACATTATTGTAAAGTAATTAGCCTCCAACTAAAAAAAAAAAAGTTAAAAGTTTTTTAAAAAAAATTCTCAACTATAATAGTCAATACATTTGTGAAGTATGATAAAATGGAATACTTAAGAAATAACATAAAAACAAAGATACAAAATACAAAACCTGATCATGAGTATTAAATTCAACAGATATATGATGTAATTTTCAATAATGCTTGTACATGTTTTCTCCCAGTGACTTTTTTTGTTTGTTTTTGTTTGTTTGTTTGTTTTTTCTTTGTTTCACACTAGTAACAATTTATGATAAGCATTGGTTGATGGGCCAAGTTTTGAGTAGCCTACCTTGAATACACACTTTGAAAAATGAATTTATTTAAATAAGTAAAATTGTATCTGATATGGTGATATGAAACAATAAAAACAAAATGATTAAGAATAAGAAATGATTAAGTATGAACGAGGTCTAAAATTTTAGCTAGCCCTTGAAGTGTGCATAAGTGATGCCAAACAGATGTGAATGCCAACATTCATTCATTCATTTAATATATTTATTACATACCTACTGTGTGCCAGTAACTTTTCTGGTCCTTAAGAATATAGTAGTGAAGAAAGATTTATAGGTCCCTGAGAAGACACTACACACCCTGGGAAATACTAGGTGAGTTCAATGGTGAAGACGAAGTGAAGTTATAAGATAGAGACTGGAGAAGAAAGGTGTGTATGTTCCTGCTCAGTCATGCCAGACTCTTCGTGATCCCATGGACTATAGCCCACCAGGCTCTTCCATTCATGGCATTTCCCAGGCAAGAATACTGGAGTGATTTGCCATTTCCTACTCCAGGGGATCTTCTCGACCCAAGAGTCAAACCTGCATCTCCTGTGTCTCTTGCATTGACAGGGGGATTCTATACCACTGATCTACCTGGGAAGCCTGGGGTTGGGTGTAGACGACACCTAAAGAGTTGAAATTTGAATTGAGAGTTGAATAGACTGGAAATAGGCAAAATGACCCAGAGGAAGCATATACCAAGCATGTCATGAAGTAGAAATGAGCTGGGAGAGGCTCAGAAACAGTAAAGGTCAGTGAAGCTGTAGCTCAGAATGTTGGAAGGAAATAAAGTTTAAGAGTTGGTCAGGGTCAGACTTTACAGGCCAAAGTAAGGAACCTGGAATTGATTTTTCATGTTATGAGAAACCATTAAGAAATTTTACACAAAGTAGACATAAGATATGATGTATGTTTTAAAAAAGTTACTCTGGAACTCTGGTAGTTGCGTGCATAATGGATTTTAAGGAACAAGAGACAAAGATGGAAGACAGTTAACAGGTAGTGATGACTTGACCAGACAGCAGCAAGAAGAGAAGTGAACAGAACGGGATGTGTTTACAAGTCAATGACAAACCCCTAACTACCCACCCCCTCCAAATCCTTCCTCCCTGCTAACCATAAATTCACTCTCTAAGTTTGTTAGTCTGTTTCCGTTTTATAAATAAGTTCATTTGTATCTTTTTTTAGATTTATATAAGTGATATCATTATGATAATTGTCTTTCTTTTCTGATTTATTTCACTCAGTATATACTGACAATCACTAAGTCCATCCATGCTGCCATAAATGGCATTATTTCATTCTTCTTAATGGTTGAGTTTTCATCACATATAATGTACACACTGCTATATTTAAAATGGATAACTAACAAAGACCTACTGTATAGCACAGGGAACTTTACTCAATATTGTATAACTACCTAAATGGGAAAAGAATTTCAAAACGAATAGATACTTGTATAACTAAATCACTTCACTGTACATCTGTAATACAAGATTGTTAATCACCTATCACCTAATCACCTATACTTCAATATAAAATAAAATATTAAAAAAAGAATGAGATGTGTTGTTGAACAATCAACAGGATATTTTGACATGGGGAGAGGTTGAAGAAATGAGATTTGAGGATGCTACTTCTGCTCCCCTTACAGAAGATGGAAAAGACAAGCACATTTGCAGTTGGATGAATTAAGAGTTGAGGTTTGGTCAGCTTAAATTTGAGATGACCCCTAGATAACCAAATAAAAATGGTGAATAGGAAGTCAGAAATGTGAGTTTCAAGATGAGGAGAGAGGTTAAATGAAATGGAGTGTTTGGTGTGGGTCACTTAAGGAAAGAGGGCGAAGAGAGAAGAATGGGGTCCTGGAATAAATCCCAGGGCTCTGTTTCAATACTTTGGCCATCTGATGTGAAGAGCTGACTCAAGACCCTGATGCTGGGAAAGACTGAGGGCAGGAGGAGAAGAGGACGACAGAGGATGAGATGGTTGGATGGCATCAACGGACATTAAGTTTGAGCAAACTTTGCGAGATAGTAAAGGACAGGGAAACCTGGAATGCTGCAGTCCATGGGGTTGCAAAGAGTTGGACACTACTGAGTGACTGAACAACAACTGCATTCTCATAAGAATGAGAAAAGGTGGCCAAGGAGAAAGAGTGGACAATAAACTAGATGGACTGTTGGTCAGAGGAAAGAGGAAGTAATAAACCTAATTGATAAGGTGAACTGAGAGGAAGCCAGTAAGGAGGCAAGAACAAGAGCTATGCTATAATCTGTCTATGCAGAGGGAGCATCCATTATCCAGTCACACTGTAACTATCCCTACGTGT